TAATAATAATATGGAGAGGGGGTTGATTATATGTTATGACGACCTGCCATATACCTCCAGCCCTACACGGGATGCTGTTGCGCTGAAGCTGAAGCTAAAGCTAAAACCAGCGAGTAAAACCGGAAAACCGGAAGTGTCCGTGTTGTTGCCGTGGATCCGCGTGTTTTCTCCTTTTAAGATGTTCAGAGGCAAAAGCTGCGTTTAATCAGAAACCAACCAATCGAAAAGGTTTGTGTTATAATTTAGAAAAGTTGTGTTTATTTGTAATTGTTTGCTTTTCTGTTAGCTAGCATTCTATAGCCTGCTAGGTTCAGGCGCACTATGTACAATAAAATCCTACACGATAAGTTTAGACACACAAATAAATAAAAGTTAGCTGCAACTCTACTAAAAACTCTATTTATAAATTATATATTTAATTATAATCCTGATTAAGTCCGTGTTTCTACGTTTAAAATAATGAATGGGTGATAATTATGTTTGTTTATCATCAGGTTTTCACACAAATAAATCAATCATAACAATAAAACATCTGAGCAGCAGAAATATTGGAACTTTTAAAATTAGCAGCTGATTTGGAAAAAAAAGTTTTGTGGATTGAAATCAAAATGGATTTCTAAGAAAAGAAATGCATCTTTGCTTAAAACTCATCCCATCTCTAAAACATGGTGGCGGCAGTATCATGGTATCAGTATCATCATAACCTTTTTAGAAACATCCATGCTGTTGCAGCTCATAAAACACTGAATTCTCAAATAAATCACTTATGTCAGACACGTGTCGGGGTTTTCCCTGTGCTACACATTTTGATAAAACTTTCAGTTATTTTAGCTGTTTTCCTTCTTACTTGAAAGACTCTGGTTCCAAAACGAGTTTACTTTTTTATAAAATCAAACGACCCGCTCAGGAGATAGAGGTCATAGCAGGTTGAACATTAGGAAGCACCATCAAATCAAAGACATAGAGCGTGCTACAGTTCATTTATGAAAGAGCGTTTGTGTGCAGATGACGGCGCAGGAGATCCGTCTGTGTGGTCTCCTGCTGCGGGAACATTTTGGAGAGGTGGTGGAGAAGGTGGGCAAGCATCTGCTCAGAGGAGGAGCTCAGAACTTACGCTGCGTCGGTCATGAAGCCGGCCTGTCCTTGGACCTGGTAAGATGCATCAAGCCACTGGTTGGACTGGTTTCTGGACATTTAAAGGTCTGAGCTGAGATTTCTGGTTGGAAAACTAATTTAATCAAATAGTTTGGTCTTTGCAGAGGTTTATAGTAACTAAGCACATTTACTTTGTTACAGTACTTAAGTAGTTTTTTGAGGATTTGTAATTTTACCAAGAATTTTTTAAACAGCTACTTTTACTTTTATTTCGTTACATTTTTAAAGCTAAAAATGATCCTTTTACTTCTTTACTTTAAAATGTAACACCTAGTTACTCGTTACAAATGAACTCTGTTTGAACTCATCATGAAAGATGTTTCTGCTCTAAAATACGAAGAGTTGATTTTACTGGTTTAATGGAACCAGTTTGGTTCAGTAAATTCAACAGTTTATTTATTAGAGAGTGTGTAAAAGTACTTTTACTTTTACAATTTCTGTGAACAGTTTTATGACTTTTACTTAAGTAGTTTTCTCATCAGTGAAATTCATTTTTATTTTTGTATTTTCTGTTCATGTAATTTTACTTTACTTCAGTTATATTTTTCATGTTTCAAAAACCTCTGGGTCTTTGATGTTATTTTTTATTGTTTGAAACCAGGTTGTCCAATTAAAATAGTTCCTATAATTCATATTAAACAGCAGAGCGTTAGTCTACCTGATACCTGTGTAGAATCAGTGTTTTCTGTCTCAGGTAAAGAAGACGTTGTGCGTGCTCGTGCAGCACGGGGCCTGCTCCTTCGCCTCGGGGCGTAAAGGACCCGGCAGCCCCACGGAGTACTGGGCCTGCTGCGACCGGATCCTGAGGATCCTGCGCTACCCGCGGTACATCTACACCACCAAGACCCTGTACGGTGACACCGGGGAGCTGCTGATAGAGGAGCTGCTGCAGAGAGGCCACATGACCATGAGCAGCTTGGTGAAGACCGTCGCAGACCGCCTCACCCAGAACATGGAGGGTCAGAGTCCGGATCAGATACAGATCAAAGAGATCCCTGATTAGTTGTAACATTAGACTTTATTTAATAAACATTTATTTTAACTGTAAAATAAAGACTGTAAAATTACTGTAGGATGTTTAGTTTTGTAAATTTTTTAAAATATATTTTAACACGGACGAAGCCATTTTATTTACACACAAAGCACTCTGGGTAAATGATGACGTGGATAGGTCCTTAGCTTTAGCATTAGCCCCGATGCCATCACCGTGTATACTGTATGTTAGGCTGTTAGCTTTAATGTTAGCCCCGATGCTATCACCATATATATGTTAGCCTGTTAGCTTTAATGTTAGCCTCGATGCTATCACCATATATATGTTAACTTTAGCGTTAGCCCCGATGCTATCACCATATAAATATTAGCCTCTTAGCTTTAATGTTAGCCCCGATGCTATCACCATATACAGTATATGTTAGCCTGTTAGCTTTAGCGTTAGCCCCGATGATATCACCATATATATGTTAGCCTGTTAGATTTAACGTTAGCCCCGACGCTATCACCATATATACAGTATGTTAGCCTGTTAGCTTTAGCATTAGCCCCGATGCTATCACCATATATACAGTATGTTAGCCTGTTAGCTTTAGCATTAGCCCCGATGCATCACCATATATATGTTAGCCTGTTAGCTTTAGCATTAGCCCCGATGCTATCACCATATATACAGTATGTTAGCCTGTTAGCTTTAGCATTAGCCCCGATGCTATCACCATATATACAGTATGTTAGCCTGTTAGCTTTAGCATTAGCCCCGATGCTATCACC